AATTTGTTAAGTCTCTAAGGTGCCACAAGTACTCTTGTTCTTTTTGCGGATATGGACTAACACGGCTGCTACTATGAAAAGTGTCTGACTGGGAAACAATACAGACAATATAATGAATGAATTCTGCTCCTTTGAAACCTGAAGGGATGGGGATTAGCTAGCATGTTGTTACGGAGTCCTGGGCGATGCTTTGGAACTGCTCCCCACAAAGCCAGTCAGGACTTTGGGGAGCTTCCTCTCCCTTGGAGCAGACTGTCTTCAGGGCAAGAAGCTCACACGGCTTCACCTTCCTGGGTCTGACCTTGGAGCATTCAGCATATGCCCCTCCGTGCGCTCCCCACAGCGAGTCTGCCCAGGCGGGGTCCTGGGGAAGCCAGAGGCTCCTGCACCCCCACTTCACAGTCAGACGTGACTCTTAGCCAGCCAGTAAAGCAGAGGTTTATTAGATGACAGGAACACGGTCTAAAACAGAGCTTGTAGGTACAGAGAACGGGATCCCTGAGCCAGGTCCATTCTGGGGCCCAATGAGCCAGACAACCCCGTCTGCCCTCACTTCCCATCCCCAGTCAGCTGCAAACTGAAACCCCCTCCAGCCCCTCCTTCTCTGCTGAGTTCCTTTCCTGGGCCAGGAGGTCATCTGACCTCTTTGTTCTCCCACACCTTTAGCATCCCCTTGCAAGGGGGAACGGCCCCAGCCATTAGTTGCCAGGCAACAGAGTGTTGGCCAGAAACTGAGGCACCCACACAGTATTCAGAGGAAACATTAAGAACAGTCCCACTTCGTCACACATGTCCATTAGGTTTTGACACCTGTATCTCATTGGAGAGGGCACGGAGATGCAGGTCTCTCTCACGGCAGCTGTGCATTATGCAAAACATTCCCCTCTGATCTAACTGACCAGGGAAGAACTTAACCAGAGTCCGACACACTGACCCTCGGCTTCTAATAACCGAGGGGACGGGAATCCCTTACCCAGCGAGTTCACCGTCTCGTAGTTCTCCTGCATGACGTCCCTGTAGAGGGCTCTCTGAGCGGGGTCCAGCAGAGCCCCCTGCCCCTGGGTGAAATACACAGCCACCTCCTCGAAGGTCACCGGCATCTGAAACAACAAGAGTCCCCCACTCAGCACCTGCTGCCCCAGCCACAATCCCGCTATTCGCATGGAAAGGAAAAGAACTCGAAGCTCTGGGAGGGCCAGAGTAACAAACTCAGACCCCTACTGTTCAGAGCAGCCAGGAGGCTTCAGGGGGTGGGGAGAAGGTGAGAGCTCCTTGTCCCCGCCCCCTCCCCAGCACACAGAGCATGGCAGGGTCTTCTCATTTACCACAGTCCTACCAGCCATAGGCTGATACGGGAAGCAGAGCTCTGAGCCAGGGACAGGGACAGGAATCCCAACAGCTTCCCTTTGTATTTCA